AGTTTTTTTTTTTTTTTTTTTTTTTGTGGATGTTTAGAATTTTCAGCTTCTTGTTTTTGGTTTTTCTATGGATTTAAAGAGTTTGTATTTTAAATTAAAGTTTAGTATTATTTCTATATGATTGATTGTTATCATGTTGACCAAACGTCCAGCTGATCAGTTTTATTGTTTATTGATCAGCAGCAGCAACTGATGTCTGTTCCATCTCAGTGTTAAAATAACGTTAAAAAAACTTTGTTCATTTCCTGGTTGTGAATGAAGGGGGTGGAGCTTGTCTGGTTTTGTACAAAATAAAAGCCTGGAATATAAAAAGTCTTCTGATGAGTTATTTTGTTTTCAGTGTGACGTCTGAGGATGTTTAGATTTCTCATTAATTATAGAAAATTTAAAGCCACACAAACTTTTTTGAAATCGATTTGTTGTAGGAATCTGCTCCAGGGCGGCATGGTGTGGCAGTGGTTAGCACTGCCGCCTCACAGCAAGAAGGTTTGGGTCCGAGCCCCGGCCGAACTGAGGCCTTGCATGTTCTCCCTGTTCCTGCGTGGGTTCTCTTCAGGTGCTTTGACTTCCTCCCACAGTCCAAAGACATGCAGCTCAGGTTGAGTGGTGACTCTAATGTGTGTGTGTGTGTGGTTGTCTGTCTCTTAAGTGTCAGCCCTGTGATGGACTGGCAACCTGTCCGGGGTGGACCCTGCCTCCCGCCCAGTGTCAGCTGGGATTGGCTCCAACTCCCACACAACCCTGTAAGGATGAGCGGTACAGATAATGGATGGATGGAAGTCTGCTCCACAGTGAGTCTTGATGTGGAGAGGTGCTGTCGAAGCCTCCTGTGACCTGGACTCACTGACCAGTGCTGGCAGCAGTGCACAGATATTAGCTTCTAAAGGTTTTGAACAGGACTGACCTCTAACCAGCTGAATATTTTCAACTATTTCAAGTTGATCAGTGAGTTTTGTTACATTGTCCATCCATCTATCCATCTTTGTCCGCTTCATCTGAGACCGTGTCGTGGGGGCAGTAGTCCAAGCAGAGCCTCCCAGCCTTCCCTCTGCCCACACACATCTAGCTTCTCAGGAGGAACCCAAAGGCATTCCCAGGCCAGCCGGGAGACATAGTCTACAACATGTCCTGGGTCTGCCCCGAGGCCTTTTCCCAAAGGGATATGACCAAAATACCTCCTCCGGGAGGCGTCCAGGGGGCATCCTAAACCCGAGCCACCTCAACTGGTTCTGCTCAACATGGAGGAGCAGCGACTCTGCTCCAAGCTCCTCAGGGGTGACTAAGCTCCACACCCTACTCCTAAGGGTGTGCCCAGCCACACTCCGGAGGAAACTCATTTCTGCCGCTTGTGAAACTCATTTCTGGCCTCGGATTTGGAGGTGCTAATTCTCATCCCGCCGCTTCACACTCAGCCGCAAACCCCTCTAGTGCACGCTGTAGGTCTTGAACTGATGAAGCCAACAGAACCACATCATCTGCAAAAAGGAGAGATGAGATTCTGTGGCCACCAAAACAAGACATCCTCCGTTCCCTGGCTGTGCGTAGAAATTCTGTCCGTAAAAATAACGAACAAAATCAGTGACAAAGGGCAGCCTTGATGGAGTCCAACATACACCGGAAACAGGTCTGACTTACTGTCGGCAATGCAAACCAAGCTCCTAGTCCGGTCATACAGGGAACGGACAACCCGTAACAATGAGGCCCACACCCCATAATCCCGAAGTACCTCCCACAGGGTGACACAGTCAAATGCCTTCTTCAGATTCACAAAACCAGTTTACAGAGAGGATGACTTAGATAAAGCATATGAGAAATTTTTAAATATATTTAAGAATGTATATGACAGGAACTGTCCTCGTAAGCTGTATAAATATAAAAGGAATTACAGTGGGAGACCATGGATGAGCAAGGGATTACAGAATGCATGCAAAAAGAAGAATGCGTTATACAAGCAATACATAAAGGACAGATCAAAGAAGGCGGAAGAAAAATATAAGTCATATAAGAACAAATTAATGGAGATTTTGAGGAGATGTAAGAAGCTATATTATTCTAAATTATTACAGGATAATAAAAATAACATGAGAGGTACGTGGAATATATTAAATAAATTGATTAGAAATAGTTCTAGAAAGAGTAACTACCCTCAATATTTTATGGATAATGATACACAGGTCAATAGATTGGAGGATGTAGTTGAAAAGTTTAATAGGTTCTTTGTGAATGTTGGTCCTGGTTTAGCAAAAAGTATCTGTACAGATGATACATCCGTCACT